ATATATATATATATATATATATATTTATTTATTTATGTGGAATGCGTTTAGAAGAGAGGATGTTAAGATGTTACCATCATCTTCACGCGTTGCACCGGGACGAGGAACGAAGAATGGTTCGGATGGTATAATGCCATGTTCATGCCAATTCTTGGCCTTTTTCTCCACTAGATCTACCTGTGTTATGTATATACACACATTTATACAAATGTATACATACATCCACAAATATATATATTATATATACACACATTTTTATTATTAACTCGATATCTAGCTATTTCTATGCAGAGACTGAAGTAGAATATTTGTCCTTGCAATCGATACATGCCGTAAAAGTCTTATAATAGGGCTTCATTCACTATCCTCTCAAGTAGTGTCTAAACCCTTCTCATTACGGAGCTCTTATACGTTCATACTACACATTGTATGCCGTGTAAAAAAAATTATGCGGTCCAAAAATGTGTCGAAACTCACATCCTGAACGGAATTTGAACATTGATTTTATGGTTATTATACGGATAGATTCGGGAATGCGAGCTAACAAGAAGAAAAGGACAACCTTTGTGAGGGCATTGGGGAAGTTGCAAGGTCGCTTAGCTCCACAAGCGTAAACATAACGATACTTCCGACCCAAGTGCAAAGGATTGATGCTGCACATATCCATCCCGCTCCCATGCTCCTCGGGTTGTATTGCTGTCTCTAATTCCCCGTATATACTCCCATCCAACGGTATCTTGAATCTCCCGATCCTATACTCGGACCCACACCAATAATCGTTTGACATTATTATGGGTGTGCTAAGCATTGCTTAAGGGGAAAAAACCCTAACACATCCAAAGGTACTAACTTGTACTTTTGTCTTGGTCACTCCAGGTTGAAGAAACACAATTTTAAACAGAAAACGGTTCTAAACTCCACAAATTTAGAGAAGCCGTCCATTTATGCTTGGATTCTCTGTTTCTTTAATGTAATAAATATACATGAAGTTGGATTAGGATTCATGAAACCTAAGACGATTTGGACAAGTAACTGGAAACACTCCCTTTCGGACGTCAAAACTGCAATTTCTAATAACATGTCCATGGCGAAAATGACACCAATTCAAAAATGATGTTACACATCGTATACAACATACGAAAATGAACCATATTCATTCTAAAATTCGACAAATAGGATAAAATCTACGAGTATGTACTGTAGTTAATACATGAAATATGGAGACTATATACATACCTAGCCTGAGGCAAGATGTCGTGACCGTGGTAAGAGCGGAGAGTGTGGAGCCGGAGCAAGTCGAGGATTCGGGTATTTGCATTGTGTTCACAACAATCTGCCACAATTCCCTTCACTTTCCCTTCTTCATCTCTCTCTTCGTAAGCGTTTATGAAGTGAAAAGTCACGTACAAGGGCACCTCCACGCTCGCCACCTTCGACATTACATACAACGTTATATATAAGCATGGATGCATAATACGTACGTACACATGTGATGTGAACTACACGTTACATTTCATGATAAGTTCATATACACAAATACATGTTATATATATGTGGGTATGTGCTTTTGTTTTGAGAAAAAGAAAAAAGACACGTACGATTTCACCAGTGTGTTTGGACATGACATGAAGGTAAGCTCCGGATTCAGGGCACCACTCGAACTTATAAAACGGCGTCGGTTCTGCTCTCAGAAGATTCCTCACAGAGTATCTCAGGGGCATTTCCGGTATCACAACAAAATTCTCCGTTACCGCAAACGAGTGGACCCACCCGGGTCCCTTCCCGAACCGGCCTCGACAATCGGCCCGGCCCACCACCTCCCTCCGGTTCGAACCGGCTTCCATCCTCACGACCCGGTAACCCGGTTTAACGAGATCCGGAATCAGCGTCCAGAATTCGGATCCCGTCACAATCGGATGCGCAGACTGGATCAAGAAATCGTTCAAATCGTCGTTATAATTGAATCTTCCGATGGCCTTTAGAGTCTCCGGGTCGATCAAAATCGATCCTTTTTGAGTCTCGGTTAAGCAAACCACCCGGTTATCTCCGAGCCGGATCACGCCGGTATTCGCGTTGTCGGTTAGGGAATCGCCGGAGAATAACCGGAAGAATTCTCCGATGTGGGAAAACGGGTTTTGTGTTTTTGGGGTTTCGGAGAATTCTCGGAAACAGAGTCTGTTGTGTTTTATGGCCGCGGAGTAGGCGGCGGATTCGAGAACACGGTGACCGGCGATAATTTTTTGGCAGCCATCGCCGGAGAATTGGAGCTTGACGACGGTGGAATAGCCGTCGAAGAGGTGCCGGAAATTGTAGTCTCCGATTTGCCAAAGTCCCGGTCCGTTCCTGAGGTACGTCCCCTTCTGCATGTAATTAATTATCGTGAAGTATTTATATCCAATCATTTTGCTTTTATTTCAGGACGAAACAAAAACAAATAATATCATAGTCTCACATAAATAGATGCGAAAATAACCAGAAAATTGTATGTCTTACCGGCCAGATTCTCATATAAATTATCTAAATAACCCTTTTATTAGCGCATATATATATATTCATATGATGTACATAGATGTATGAAGACCGTTTTTTTAGCCAGGTTATGATTCATGAAGAAAAAAAGACCAATTAGATAATTTTTGTGTGTGTGTATCAGTGTATGTGCCTATACATACACGCATGATATATCGTGTATATACATATATTAATGTGTGTATTATGTAAAAGAGGCTTACCAGCCATGTAGGTATATGTCCTTGAACATCGAGCTCACCCTCCCAATACTCCTGTTGGATACTTGTCCACGCACCGTGACACCGCCGTGGAACGCCGGACGTATTCTCTTTTTCCGGCGACGGTGCCACCGCCGGAGACGGTGGGATAGTCGCAGCTTTAGCACCGGAGATCAAGTACAATCGGGGGTTTTCCCCAAATAAAGGGCAATTAATTTCGGGTTTTGTGCGATGGCCCGACTTGTTGGAACAAAGAGGCATCAAATTAGAGGACATGATATTATTATGACCCATCATCATTGCTTTGAATGTGATTAAAGGTGCCATACTGAGGGGATTATGTATATTTTATTTGTAATGTTTTGAGATGAGGGCACAAAAAGAGGAGAGAGAGAGAGAGAGAGAGAGAGAGAGAGAGAGAGAGAGAGAGAGAGAGAGAGAACATATATGGGTATTTATAGAAGTGGGTAAGCCGTGGGGGATCCTAACGCAGTGCCTTAATAAACAGATATATGCGCATCTATTGTCAAGTTGATGCATAATTGCAACTCTCATATTGATTTTCCAACCAGCTATATTATATATATATATATATTAATAATTTTCAATCTTTTACAGGAAAACTTAGGTTTTTAATGTCCTTACTGAGGAAGCGTATATTTTCATTTTTGATATTGTGTTTTGTACATATATTGTATGACTATCTTAATTTGTAATAAACGATTCTCCGAAAACCATTAGATCAGAGAGGAACGAGAATGGATCGAACGCATTGGGATAAAAAAAATTTGAGAGCTATGTAGGTATTACCTTTTTTTATTATCTATCACGAGAGAACTCCAAAGTTAAGTGTGTCCACGCTAGATCGAATTAAGGATGAGTGACCTAACAGAAAGCGTTTCTCGACATGCGTGTGAATGAAGACAAACTAAGCTAAAAAGTCTTATATTGATATGTGAGGGCAGTTTCAATGTTCATAACAGTCGCAAAACATTACAAATGGTATCAGAACTCGTATTCTTAATACAGTGTGATTCGAGGACGAATCATACAGAAATTGATGGGTTTGTGATCGAGCTATGATGTGGATAGAGAGTGATCATCGATACAAGTGGCATGGACAAAGAGCAACTTTCCGAAGACCACTAGACCAGAGGAGTACAGAGATGAATCGAACACACCAGAATAAGAGAGATCCGAAAATTATATAGGTATGAGACTATACAATCAATGATAACTGATTGAACCATTCATACCAATAAAATGAATTTACCTTTTTTGTTTCATATCGCGAGAGAATTCTAAAATTAAAAATGATCGTTTTGGAGTAATATAAAGATAGGTGAACTAATGAGAAGTGTTTTTCGATATACGTACGAGAGATAACAAACTGCACAAAAAGATCGTGTGTTGATCTACGAGAGCAGTTTTAACCTTTGTAAGGATCTTTACATAGTCACTAATTCGTTATATGTTGTTATCTATTATACATAAGAATCATCACCATCACCATAGGGATACGGATGGACATGTAATCATAGAGACCACATGCCTTATGTTAAAAATTCTAAAATAATTAGTTTCTTTTGAAAATTTTATTTATTTTGAATGCTGATTTGGTTGATATCCCAAATAAACAAAATAAATTATTCATTTTTTTAATATTAGTGTTTCCATTAAACAATTTTTTTAGATCCATTCCTTGCTTCACTTTATTACACTATCCCACCAAACCATTGAACTGGAATCATACGGTTTTATCTTTCCTAACACAACAAACCTCGGTCCAAACAGTCATATTTGTAATCATATAATAGAACTATTTCGTATAGTTTGTCGATAAATAGTAGAGTTTCATCTACGGCTAAGACCAAAGTATTAAGATATGTACTTATTATTTAAGTAGGCAACGCGTCCACACCCAAAAATAAAATATTATAATGAAGCATATATATAATTTAAGTATTTGGCATTTTGCTTTGAAGTCGCTGGTGTATCTTTTTTTTTTTTTTGGCTCTTACATGCAATTATACATGAATCTCTATGAAGGGATAAGATGAAAGAAAGGTCGTACATGTTTTTGTCTACAATACAAACATGAAATAACCAAACAAAAAACAAGCTTGTGAGATTTCATTTCAATCTTCCATATATGGAAATGTTATTATATATATATATATTTATTATTATTATTATTATTATTATTATTATTATTATTATTATTATTATTATTATTATTATTATTATTATTATTATTATTATTATTATTATTATTATTATTATTATTATTATTATTATTATTATTATTATTATTATTATTATTATTATTATTATTATTATTATTATTATTATTATTATTATTATTATTATTATTATTATTATTATTATTATTATTATTATTATTATTATTATTATTATTATTATTATTATTATTATTATTATTATTATTATTATTATTATTATTATTATTATTATTATTATTATTATTATTATTATTATTATTATTATTATTATTATTATTATTTCGGTCGGTCCAAATTTTAATAATGCCATAACAGTTGTTGGCGTTCGTCAATTAGATTGATATTTGCCTGAAATAGTTGAATTGTGATTACGATTAATCGTAATTATTCTCAATTTTTATTTATAAAAACCAAACTAATGTTCTCTTTGTTATCACCTTATCATCGGTGTCTCAATAATAAAATTTTCTAAATCCACCCAACTTTGATAGCTAAACCGGTAAAATAAAGAAATAAAGTGTATATCTCATCGCGAGTTCAAATTTCAAATTGGGTTAGAGAACACAAATTCTAATCACACTACTTGTTCACAATCTCGGGATTAATATGGATCTCATCTCAAGTTACTCGCTTATCCAAAAAAACTCATCACATGAATGTTTGCTATGTCAACATGGATAAACTATAAATTATATATAGTCGAAGTTTTTTTATAAAAAAAAGTGATGGAAAAACTATAAAAATTTATTACATTTGAATTCAGAACTCTTGAGATTAGGGGATTCGGAGGTAGTTGTGTTTTTTTATGTATATATAATTATAATTTCGATTTCTCTATTAATACGTATTTTTTTTATTTCGAAACTTTCACGTAAATCCCATATCAAATTTAATTGTTGCTCTTATTTTCTTTTATTTTGAGTTGCAGTTATTTTTTTTATATAATATATGGCATATATGTTATGCAAAAACATTTGCAAACAATGAATATAGTACCAAAACCTTCAGACGTGGTTTATAGCGTCACTCAACTATATTCTTCCAAATAGGTTTGCATTATATAAGACAGAGTTTGCTGACTGTATAAATAAAAATTTGTCATGATGAGGTAAATTGTACGATTACACTAATTGTGTGTATATATACATACATATATATATATATATATATATTCATGGGCCATGCAAAGTGGGTCTATTCAAACGTCTTAGACAATTGACATGATATATTCTTGAATTAAGACAAAGGGAATCAAATTTGTTTTTATCATGAAGCTATACATGTCAAATAAATAAATTTTAAAATGAAATTTCGAAATAAAAGTTGAACCAACAGCAAAAAAAAAGTCCTTATTTTAAAACCATGTTTGTAACGATCCGAACCCACTACCGAACGTTAAAATTGTCCTCACACATCAATACGAGACCTTTCAATGTATTTTATCCTTATTCTCATGGATATCGAGATATTTTCCATTACGTCATCCATTCTTATGTTGTTCTATAGTTAGCACGTTTAATTTTAGAGTTCTCTGGCGATAGTTAATCGAAAATATAGATACATTTTTTTGCTATGAATAGTTCAACTAATTCTTTTAAGGTATCTTAAATCATATAGTTTCATACATATATAGCTCTCGAATCTCTCTAACACTGGTTTGTTCGATTCATTCTTATATCCCTTTGATCTAATGATATTTGTGGAGTTGTCCGATCGATCACTCCAACACTCATCATAGCTCGCAATATCACATTGTTAAATGAAACGTCACAAATAATTTTATATGAATTTGTATTCAATTCCTTTATTTTTAGCTATATTAAAAATATACGGTCGGTTAGACCAGTGCGGTTGATTTCCTTGTGAAATAAAAAATAGCTAGACATCTGATTATATTATATTAGTAATCTAAAAAAAAAAAAGACTTTCTTTCGTTTATTAATCATTGAAACAATTTACACTTGTCTCGACAAAGAGAATCGTCTTTTCGTTGAAGTTACTGTAATGTGTTGTATTTGATTTATTACTTTCAAATTTATTATTATTTTGTGTTGGATTGCAATTTCATGTTCCCTACAACTCCTCGTCCGCTATGTTCTCTTAAATTTGTTATTGAAAAAACATAGAGAAAATAATATTTAAATAACCAAACTTTTACAAAAATCTCAAATAAATATCTAAATTGTAAAATTTTAATTTAAATACATGAATTTTTCAAAACTTTATAGACATATCTAAACTTTTGAAAATTTCTCAAATAAACCTAAAATCCGTTAATGAAGTTGACTATTTTTATTTAAGAAATATCTGGATTTTGGTTTATTTGAGAAATTTTGAAAAGTCTAAATATTTATGTAGAATTTTTTAAAAGTTTAGGTATTTATACTTAATTTTTATAATTCAGATATTGATTTTATAATTTATAAAAGTTTGGATATTTAAATACTATTTTTCCAAAAAACTAATAATAGAATTTTAAGAGTCTGTATGGATCAAGGTATCTAGAAAATTCATGATATATATCATATTCCATTTCGAATTAGCATAGATTTATAGTTTGAATATTCGGATTTTGATATATGATTTGCGGCAAAATTTAAAAATCTGGTAAAAAAAAGGTCGAAAGACGCAACACGGTGCAGAGAGAGATCATCTTTTATGATACTATTATTTTTTTTTCAATGTCCTAAAATTATATAAAATATTGTAAATATATATTATAGACTAAAATGAAAATAATATAATTAATCCTAAAATATATATTTAATTCGTTGTTTTGAAATTCACTCCGCTCGTCTACTTACAATCGTGTAAGTGAAATGAATAATCATAATTATGAGGTGTCAATGGAGATTTATTTTTGAATTAATATCATGTGTATATATATATATATATATGATTAATATAGGTAGTTATTTTTTCTCTCAATTAATATTGTGTGATTTATGTATATAGATAATTCGTGTTAAGAGTACTTTGGAATTTAAGTAAATGTTTCAACCTTTTTTTATCGTTTTATTCTTTTAGTACAGTTTACATTAATTTTGAACATTTTTAAAAAATTTGGACATCACGCAAATTCTTGAAAATATTATTTTTTTTTTGTAATTGCTTGAAAATATTTTCATTACACAATAAACAAAATAGAAACCATGTAGTCTTGAGCGTTGGAGAAATTCAAAGCTGAC